CAAATTGACAGACAGGTTTGAGACGGCTGACAAACGAGGAACAGGAAAAATGATTTACAATTACACAAAGATTTTATCTGACGCTGATAATAAGGTTGGATCAGAACCATATCTATGATCACACATTCAAACAAGTAAAAGTTGTGATCGAAAAACATGCCGTATCTTAATGAAATATGGTTTAGTAGAATTACTAGTAGCAGCACATGAGCAGATTCATTGGAATCAATAATTTATGTTTCTTCAGCTTCAGTTTTTCTCATGCTGCTCATGCTCCTTCCTCTGCCTGACTCTTCAACCACCTTTTAAAAAGACAGCTATGCCCTTTTTATATATAAGCTGAGGCATACCATTATTTCCTCAAATTGGTTTTCCCCATAGGAAAGTATGTTGTAAAAGCAGCAAACTTTGTCCAATAAGTTGGTAGCCACATCTTTTTGGCTTCACTTTTATAAGTGTACACTTTTATACCAAAGTATTATTATTTTTGCTGTGGAACAGTTGATTGAAGCTGCTTATTATTCTTTATTTAAATTTCAAGTTATGAAGGAATTTTTGTCTAAATATATTAGGATTTATTTTAGTTATTTATTTTTGGTAGAACTGTTTGGATTGAACCCAAACTGGACATAAGGTCATGTGACTCTGAAAGGCCATTTGTATATCTTTAATTCAACTATGACAAATTATTTGAGTTCAATGTTTAGAAATGAATTGAAAATCATGAACCACAATAAAGAATCTATGTCTGCATGTTGGAATAACCAGCTTGAGTTTACAACATTATACTTGCCCCCTTGATAGTACTCTCCCACATCATCCCAGAGACAGAGTGGTGCTGTTAGTTTAAACAATAAAGTCAACAGGGAATAATGACAAACTTAACATTTGATCATGCATTTTTAGGATGTATTGAGCAGTCTAAAATACCGCTCCAGCAGTCTGTTCGAACAATTTCATTTTATTGCAACATTTTCAGTTGTGTTTTTGCCTAATTACCTTGAGAGGTGAGAGTCCCTGGTCGTGTTGCCTTCCTGCTTGTTGTCTAACAGGCTGCGCTCAGGTCTGGCCCAGTTCTTGGCTGCGTGCCTCACAGTGTCATTTGGATGAGTGCAGCTCGCGCTGCCTTTGGGCTCATTAACAACAATATAAACAGTAATTACTGTGATCGCCTAATTAATTCATTTAAAAATGCCGCACAGCGTGGAAAAAGGCACAAGCAAATCTTTTTCTGGGAGATAACCATTTTCAAATCACTGTTGTTGACGCAATTAGTAATTTCATGTCTCAAAAAAACCCAACATAATTAATTGAAAACTTTTTGTCCTATTTTTACATTCTTCTTCGTCCAAAGCAATGTAATCTTTGCCTCCGGACACAAGCTTTTGTTTATCGTTTAAAAGCACAATAGTGTTTTGTGAGGTTTTTTTGGCCTGGTTTTTTTGTTTTGAAAGAATGGACATTTGGACTTTAATTGTCTCTTTTTCTTGTTCTCTTTTCAATTGACTTTTCTTTGTCATTTTAGAGCAATTAAGATTTCTGCTAAAAGTGGGTTTGCATTGTGACTGGACAATGGTTTATGTGTGAATGGCTACTGTTTTGGCAGTACCACACCCACATGTTTCAGAGATAGGCTCGGAAGACAATGTTTCAATTAGACCATGAAAGCGCTGTGGTGATGTGCGGGAGATATGCAGGAGCTATAGTGTGAGGTTTCAGATCGAATCAGGGCTAAATGAGAGCGGATTTGCATTTCTATACATCCCACTGGCCTATAATTGGACACGTTCATGTTTACAGCAGGATGTAATAGAGAGAAAGGCCATTGTCACAGTGTGAACTCATATTGTAACATGCATTAAAGGGACCACATGCATTTGTATCTGTCACTGCAAACAACCAGAGCTTCAACTGCTGCGTTTACTTCATCTAGCAAAGAGAACATTGGACTAATCTGCCGCAACAAAGAGAGCTAAACATGTCGTCTAATTCTCTAGTTTGACACTGGGAAATCTATCATGTCCGTTCCCTGTTATAACAAAGTGCCGTGGTGCAAAGTTTGGAAGCATGTGTAACTTTGAGAGCTTTTCCTATCAATAGTTGAAAGAGATATGGATACATTATATTACATGACACCTTAATGAATACATTTACAACTTACATACAGTACAATCAATATCTTTCTACATCTGCAGCTAACTTTGTTCCCCAGCTTTTCATTGACCATAATTCAATTCATTTCAATTCAATGTATTCTTGTATCGCCCTAAATCACAACAGTAGTTATCTCAAAAGACTTAACGCAGATCAGAGAATCAGCAGTATCAAGAAAAGTACCAAGAAATTCAACAATAAAAACACATAGAGCCATTGGTCCATAAGGGGCAGAAGACCAATGTCCAAATATGATGATGAATGTTCATATATACTGTTGAATGTTGACAGGTGAATTAAATAAGGACTCAATCTTCCCTAAATCTGTGAACCTACAGGCCATAAAGCAGAGCGGTGATAGTTTTTGTGTACATTATTGCTTTCTAATCTATGTTTTATTTCTTAATGGTTTTAATGCCCTTTATTATTGAATTGTTTGTCTTGTTTTGTTAAGCGCTTTAAGTTGCCATTTGTATGAACTGTGCTATACTTATACACTTGTCTTCTTGTTTACTGTATCTTTTTTATGTAGTAGCCAGTATCTAAAACCAATTTTCTTTGAGACAAAATAACTTAATCTAGATCCTGGTCTCTATATTTGGTGATACACAGTTAAAGTGCATAACTAGATATAAGCCCTGTATTCCTCTGCAGTGTATTGTCTTTTACCACCACTGCACTGCACACCCACCCACACAAATATATTCACACACACACACACACACACACACACACACACACACAGCCTCTGACCCTTTCGAACCATCATTAGTTTAGCTGCAAGATTCATGATGGCGTCCGCAGTCACTTCTTGTTGATTACCTCTGCTCTCATTAACGACAGGACAGATTTAATATGGACAGCCCTGAGCGATGCAACAGTGAAAGGAAAATAAAAACAGGTCCAAACCATGAGGAGCTAAATGTTTGTGCAAATATGACTTTAGTGAATTAAACTCAGGAAAGGACAGAATGGACCTTTATTTTAATAACAGCTGATTAACTTGTAAATCTTTCCAATTAAAAAGAGCAATGTGATTTATTATGTTCTGTTTTTCATTTGCAATATGTAAAACTAATAAATTATGTATATTTTAATTAGAAAATTAATCTTGCTCCGGGATTCAGTCTGCGTTGGAATATAGTTGGTTAGATGGTAGGGATATGGCGGCTCTTGATCACCATCTGCTGGCAGTAAGTGGTACAACATTCACACATCTTTAGCTAAAATCTACAGCTAAGTATAGATCTCATAACGACATTGTAGAGAACATGCATTCATAAATTGTTATATTGTTTGGTGTTGAATGGGTCAGATGGGCCTGGAGAATCTGTTTCTCTCTGCCCCCTTTTCAAACATTGTACTGTATATGTGTCTGTTATGCTAATGTGAAATGTGCAGGTTTGAAATCGATATTATCACCTATAATCTAATCTGTAATATGCAAAGGATAGATTTGTGAGAGAAAAAAAGAGTAACAACAAGCCAAGTTTTTTGTAATCTATCCCTGTAAATTTGAAATACTCCTTCTGCTCCTAAATACTAATCATACTAAATATTAAATAAGAAGTATATATTTCGTGAGTTTGTTTTGTCTGAGTGAACATTATTGGAGTGGTTCTGCAGAAAGAGTGAGCCATCTATGTATTTATTGTTCAGTAATTGTTATGTACTTGTGAAATGTCACCGCTAGATGGCAGCAGAGGTACTAAAACTGCACATACTAGCTGGACTTACAAAATAGATTATTGACAGTTCGAAAAATGTATTCTTTCAATTATTTTACTACTTTTTCGCGAAATGAGACTTTTTTCACGTATTTGGATCAGGATTCCCAAACTCAATTTAAACCAAACTGAATTATAATCAGCGGATTTATCATGGTCAGAATGTGAAATTGCACGTCAACGATGTGTGATCATATTTGCTAAATGGAGCTTTCGTTTTAAAGCTGGGGTACTCAACTTAGATTTTTTTTTTTTTTAAATGTCCCCCACTCTCAAAACAGTTTGGTTCTATAACTTATTTTTAAATTAATGTATTTGTCGGACTCTTTTTCCATACAGAAAAGTTTTTTTTTTTTAAAGAGAACCACTCTTGCTCAGCCAATCAGCTTTCAGCCCAAGGCCTCCAATAGTGACTCCCTGGGTTCTTCCTTACAGGTATTCAGCAGATAAATCCCTTTTATTACTTTACTTTATTCCTGGCTCAGTTTTTTTCTACAAAACAGTGAGTTTAGAAGAAAGATTTTGATGCCCATGTTGATAATTTAGTTTTTGCTGTAAGTGTCGCTCTTGTACTTCAGTAGATTTTTTTTTTGTAAGAATATTACTTTGAATAATTAGACTGGTTAACAGATCTATCAGGTAAAGAAAATGGTCTCTAAGCTTTCCAACATGGCTGCTGTATTAATTGGCTTCTTTCATATTCTGCAAAAACACAATGGGTGATGTCCAAACTCAGTTTGTCCATTCTTTCTACAGTCTATGGTCAATAATAGAGATTGAGATTTGGAATTCTTAATCTTTTGATTTGTTGGCTGAGGCCTCAGTGTCACTATCATATTCCATGTAGATTTCTTGTGCAGTAAGAATATTACTTTAAATAATAAGTATTGTATTGTGTTTTAGAGAAGTAAAGATCTCTAAAACAATGGCTGCAGCTCTATTAATGTGGTATTACCAGAGTGCACACAGAGCTGCACAGTGAGACATGCGGCCATTAGAGAGGTGAGACTACTCTTATACAGGTTGATAAAAAGACAGCAGAGTGTGAAGTTCTCACCTCTGCTCAGGTGATGTTCAGACAGACGAGAAGACAGCTGCTCGCCTCCAGCATGAGCTGGCATGAGCCCTGACATCTGCAACAAGTGGCCCCTGGAGTTCACGTCTGCTGCTGCGGCACAGGGCACGAGTATGTGTGAATATAAGGATCAATACAAGCTGCTGTAGGTGTTATCTTTTGATTGATTGATTGATTTTATTCATTCGAGCAGACATTTTACACTCAAGTATATATAAGTAAGTATATATAGATATTTACATTCCTCAGTTTATGGCGACATAGCATATTGTTATGTTGCTAGTATCTACACATGCAAATATATAAACAAACATTAATGTACAATGAGTGGGAAAGACGTAAAAACTTGTTGACTCCCCATGAACATACTTCAAATACATGTATGAATGTAGGTATTTCGCATTGAATACTAATAACTTTAGAATCTAATTTTTTTCAAGATTAAGTAGGATCATAAGCGATACATTGCAAAAAATGTTTTCTAACATAGTATTGCTGCTCCCCCGCAGAAAGACCAAGGCCGGGTTTTGAAGTCATGGAGAAGCCACGGAGCCATCTTCCCGTGGATCCACCACCTGCAGGAGGATCAGTGAGGGGATGGTGCTCTCCACAGTGGGGAAATGTCAGTGTTGCATCACAAGCTATTGAACAGTAGGAATGAGGAGCACACAACCAAATATAAGTGAACAATAGCTATACTAATTAAAATAAAACAAAAACTCTAACTCTAGCATGAAAGAACAAGGATAAAATCTCTATCTTGAACATAATAATAATAAATAATAAAAATAAAGAATGAGGTACTATTTGACCCTTTGGGCTGAGAGTGGCCGAGCAAAAAGGTCCAATGAAAGCTCTGTCTGAATAAAATCCACTATATTGTGGATAATTGTCACTTTTTCAATTTTGACATAGAAATATTGGAATTTGTCATTATATATTATATCTTTTTTTTCCTTTTTCTGATGGAAAAAAAATGACGAGACCGGTGTAGTTATTACAAATAATTAACATTCATGTCGAACAGTTCTGAGCCGTCTTCTGTGCACTTTTTCGAATGCTTTCTTTTCAGAGTTGATCCCCTTTTCTTGTTTAAATATTGGATTCCTCTCTGTTGTACTGATTACGAGTCTGAAAATAGGTCTGTGCCTTAAGTGGTTTTGGATGTTTGTTTACCAAGCTGCTGAGTGGATCTTCTCATGTTGTCATTATGTGGCCGAGCCTCCGACAGACCTCCTGCTATAAGACCATTAGCTTTGCTCTTTGCTTCTCTGTATTGATAAAACTGTTGTAATTTGTCCAGGAGAGAATCTGTGCAGGTTTTGTCCTGTGTATAATTTCATATTCACATTATAAATATAGACACACATTTGTTTTTTTTGACTTGTGGACCAATAATAATTCATGCTCTTTCCTACCCTCTCAATGGAAACTTGCAGAAGGAAAATCTCTGTTTTTCTGTTCTGTTTTTGTAGCAAGCAATCTTTTCGAGATGGGAAGAAAAACAAACCAAGATGAAAGTGTGTTGGGGTCGAAATAGTAAAAAAATGCAGTTACAGAGCAAATACATTTCAGCCAAATATAAATATGGACATTGTTGACTCCTCAGGACCAATATCTCCAATGTGTTTTTTATAGTTGTATTTCCTGTGTTTTAATTGCTTGAATCTTTTGGCAATTTTTTTCTTAGATGACTGATTTTGTGATTTGGGGCTATACAAAAAAAAAAGTTGTACAGCTGCTTCTTCCAACAAATACTAATATAAAAGTAATAATGATAAAACTACTCATGTGTGTTATAATGTTTAGAATGGCTCTGCTACTGTTATACTCTTTACTGACGCCCTATACCGACCAAACTTTTTGATTTTTTTATTTATTTTATTGTTTTATGTTTTTATGTGTATTTTTAATTGTTGCATTTTATTAGTTTTAAATTATTTTTATTGTTTTTAGCTGGCAAACATTTATATTGTAATGTGTTACTTTTATCTGTGCAGCAAAGTGGATTGGATTGTATTGAAACTAGTCAACGTTTATTCATGCTACATAGATTTAACAATATACAAATGTGTTTAAAGTTTATACTATATTAAGGTCTATATTTTCAAGCAAATTAAATAAAAAAATATGTGTTGTGAACGTTCATGTATTTAATCTGTTGATACATATTCTTGACATTGGGAGGTTTTTGAGTAATTTTTCCACTTGAGTCTAGTCCCAGTGATCAGCTCAATCACAGTGGGACTCTGCTTCTTCGTTTGTTCTGTGATTTTCCCATGATGGTTTGTTAGCATTCCTGGTAGAATCCAAGGGCAGACCATGTCACAGTGAGCAGAGACCCGTCCTCTCTGAGAACAGTCTTGTGGCCATGGTTTTTCTCTGTCCATAGACCCTAAACTAACCCTATGGAATGTTTTTTTATACATTGCACCCACATGTTAGGGTCCCATAGTGCGGCTAAAGGCAGCGGATGCACAGAATGATATAGATATAAAAACACTGAGACGATAACTGCCATGGGGTGAGAAGCAGGAAGGACCCAAAAAGCAGGAATGTAAAATAAAAATAATGTATTGATGAATAAACAAAAGTGCAGGAGAAAACAAACTCAAAATCCAAAGGCACAAGGAACACAACTAGGAACAGGACGGAACAGATGTTGACAATACAATGGACCAGCGACAAAAGGAGAGAAGCACAGGGTACATAGCCTGGTCGTACCACACCATAGTACAAATTACATTTCATACTAAGGTCTGGCTTTGCTCCATTGAGCTCCATGAACAGGTGGGAGGGGTTAAGTCCTTTTGCAGATTGAAACGATTGGATCTGAGTTTACCGTCACGTATGTAATGCGCCCGAGTCTGTCGTTAGCATTTAGCATTTAGCCTAGCCATCTCCTTTGCCGCTAACAGAGCCCGTGGGGAGTAGCGCCACAATTGTTACAGGGATTACATTTGCTAAACATTACCCTTGCTCCGGCTTCAATTTCTTGATAGAACCAGACTGGATTACTTTACTATCGCATTTTTCGCCATTACCAAACTACAACCTGTCCGTTCGGCGCAAACTCTTGACATCGCCCACAACTAACCACAACACCTGCCTTCCAGATTCAGATTCAGATTCAGTTTATTTGCCATTTGCAGTAAAAAAAAAAAAACACATTGGAATACATTAGCAAAAGTCTCCAGTGTGCACAGACAAATACAGACATAAAACAACATTAAAAGACAAAAATAAAACAGTAAACAAATGTCACTGTGAAATCGATCGACTAAAACAGTTCAAAACAAGTGCAAATCATTAAAGTGCTCTGTTCACACTGATAACAGCTTGTGGATAAAAACTGTTAGCGTAACGAGATGTCCTGCATCTCAGAGAGCGATATCTTCTGCCAGAGGGAAGAAGCTGGAACATGGCTTTCCCAGGGTGGGTCTGTCGAAATTCAACCGATTGTAATCGCTAACACAGGGTCTATCCCAGACGTTACATGCAGTGAAATGATGATTGAACGGAGTGTAGGATGGATAAGGCCAGGCTACAGGGTACATAGAGAGACAGGTGAAACACATCAGGGTGGGGCCATGGATCTATTATATGGGCAGACGATCAAGACAGGGGAAATAGGACAGGAAGTACAACTAAAACGAAACCACGAGAACAGATGTCAAAATGAAACCAAAGTACACAATGAAAAAATCCACACCATGACAATAACTGTGACCAAAAGGTTTTGTGAGAACCTGGTTGTGTGGTTTTTCATTGTGAAGAAAAGATGCCGCACAGACAGTAAAAAGGTTTGGGATATTTTTTTTTATTTTTTATTATTCATTTATTTGACAGGGACATTGCAAGTCAACATAGAACAAAACAAGCTTGTAACTGATGCGATGCAAAAAGAGTTTATAGCTATTTCTAGTTTTCAACTCCAGTCCCCGGTTGGGCCTTTCTACACTACATTATCATTTTCAATATTATCTTAAAAACTTACCTATATACACATTTTAAAAACAACTCAATAAACAGTTTTTTGTGTAGCTTATTAATTGGTCTGTGGTTTAGTAATACTGAATTGGGTGCAAAGTATTGTTAGTGAATTAATTTAATGTTTTAGCCATTTTTCAACAAACATAGTAATTCTTATGTCTTGTATCTTGATCCATCCGCCATAATGTCTGGCCATTTACATCCAGTATAATCCCTCGCCATTGTATTATGACTTTGTGGGATTATAAATACGTGTCACAGAGCGTTGGTCTGAAGAATGGCCGTGTGTAAGTGATACAGCGAGGTCTCAGTCTGGACACGGTCATAGTAAATACTGTGTTTAGAGGCGCTGCTGTCTGCGAGCCACACATGACTGAGATCCCTGGCCTTCCCGCTGTTCTCACGTCTTTTTATAAATACAAGTTCTTTCTAAAAATGTTTATCGAATATGTATGTATGAGGAATCAACTTACAGGTACAGGAATTTACAGAAACTTCTGTGGGATGAATAAGGGATCTCTTAATTTGAATATTACATGGAACTTTTACACATATTAAATCATTATGCATTTTTTTGACAAGATTTTTATGAAAACGTTATGAATTAAAACTGAAAAAACTGCTTTTGCTGTTTTTGAATTCTTACTGTTATGTGAATTGTCATAATTTGTACATGTTGGCTACTTGTTATAAATAAATAAACATTTAACCTTGCGACAAATGACTATCTATGTAAACATATTCTTTGTGTGTGATTCCAGAATAGTTGGATTGAATAAAGCTGTATTTGATGATATTTTGAGTATTATTTTTGTGCGTGTCTGAGTAGTAGAATACACAACATACACTCAATCCTCGTCCTGGTTCACTTTACTTGATGTGAATAGTTTCCTCTTCTTGATCTCAGTCACTTCGAGGTTTTTGTATTCAGCAGAACATCTCTGCTGCTGATGGGTTTGGTGCTGGAGGCGAGTGAAGCTGTGTGCCTAATGCGGCTGGTTCAGTTTGATCATAATGTTTTTACTCCACATGAAGCGGAAATAAGATGGATCGCATTGTGAGTCATTGTGCCGTTAAGTGCTGTAGTACCATACGGATTGAGGACATTTGACTTTTCCACACTCAAAACATTCTCCAAGGGTGATTCACTTTCATTCACCACAGCCTTCGTAAAGGCCATGTCACAAATATAACCCTATGTTGGAAAATACAACATTTCAATACAGAAAAATGTGGCAGTAAAATATTTACAAAACCAAATCTGAATCTCATTTTGATTAGGTGCTATTATACATCCAATTACTTATTTGTTTTGCCAGTTGTCCTAATGAACTATTACCAATTCTCCAACAACAAATTAGAGAATGAAAACGATCAGAATCCAGGAAATGCAACAATAAGAAACAGCAGCAGGCATGTCTAAACTCTGTGTCATTATATGTGACCCTGTGCCTTGCTAACCCGTTTGTGATCTTGAGTACCATAGATGATAAACAGAAGTTCACTTGTCATTCAGCCAACTTCAGCTCCAACCATGTACTCATGCTATACATTGTTGTAATGTTCAAAACCTCTGAAATGCAGTCGATTGTGTCACAAAAATATTGAAAACCGGAATAGAACAGCCCAAACACACTCAAAACAGTTTGAGTTTTACAGTCCACATTGTCGGCCCGTGGAGTAAGTAATGTTTATTTATGTCGTGCATTTTACAGACCAAGGTCACCCAAAGCGCTCTACAATGTTCAGAAATCAGATATTGTTGCAATGACGGAAGCAAGACGCCGAACACACTGGAGCATCAAAGCCCCAACCAACACCATCTATGTACACAGGCGAGCTGGGACAAGTGCTGGGATCAGGAGGAGCAGAACAGAGGTCTGAGGCAGAATGAAAAAAGGTACCGAGCGATTACGAAAGGCCCACTAAACACACTACAGATTACAAACTGGCACAGATGAGCTGGCTTCTGGAGCTCTTGGAGAGGCCTGATTGTAGACTGGAGGCAGCTGGACCCGATCAGCCTCTCCCACACACCTGCTCTGGGAGGCAGCTCCAGGAGAGGCAGGAGAGGGAGGGGCTGCTGGAGGAGCAGCCCTGACAATCTATTCACTCACTCACTCATTAAATTCATACCTATTGTGCATGGTTTTAGTGGTAGGGGAACCCGGTGCACCTGGAGAAAACCTACCCAGACACTGTGAAAACATGCAAACTCAGCTTAGAAAGGCCTTGTTCCGACCAAGATTCAAACCCAGGACCTTTTTGCTGAGAAGCGAGAGTGCTATCCACTCAGCCACACAGCCACAGTGGCCCTCTGACTGAAAAGTTTGCTCTAGGGGAGCAGGATGGGCAATTCTGTAAATGTCCTGGATCGCCACTGCCTTAAGCCCCTCCTGCATTATAAAAGAAAAGAAAAAAATGGCTTTACAGGATCCTTTGAGCAGATAAACAGGTGAATGCTAAACAAATGAAAGCATTTAAAATAACATGTCATTTTCTGTCACTAATTCTCTAATTTGAATGCTACAGATACAATATTAAAGGTCTTTCAAATGCCCCCCATTATGTATATTTTATGTTTTTTCCATTCTAATCATGTAGAGCCACTTCCTCAGAGCGCTGTGCCAGAAGACCCATGTGTCCTGTAGCTCAGGTGCACAGACCTTTATTCTGAGCTATTGATGTCCAGCAGCTGAGGCCTGATGGTCCTCTCCTGCTGCCCTCACATGGGCCTTTTATCATCTGCAGTGATTCACTCCTCTAATGTTGGTACAAATGCTCATTGATTACATTGATGGGTGGTCCAGATAACAGATTCTTCTTGATTGTTGTGGATTGTGTGAGAAGTGACATGTCCACAAACAATGGGCTGTCAGTAATAATAACATAGTATTAGTAACAATAAATACAGTGTCAAACATGCAACCGTTTAAGTGGCTCTCAAAATTATTTTCAATTATTATTATTGCCCGTGAGGAGCATGGGTTACAAGTAAGACTTCTAAATCAGTTTTGAAAATTAATAAAATAAAAAATGAAGGATTTGTATCATTGTGCTATGCCCTAGATCAGGGGTGGGCAATATTTTTTTTTCCGAGGGGCCACTTTGGGATTTCTTATCTAATTTTTGCAAAAAGCGACTCTCAATGAAAAATATATATATTTAACAAACATGGAGATATCTAGTGTTTTTTTACCTTTTCTTCATGACAAATTATAATCAGTATAATTTGCTATAAAGTAACAGTTTCATTCAGAATACATTGAGGAATACCAGATGGAGACTTGGACCATCGTGTGTGGACAGCATCTCTGTGTAAGGCAATCATTATACAGGGTTTCTATGTAGCGTATATGTGTGTCTTCTCTAACAGGACATTCATCTTGTCCAAAAAGAAACCCAGAATATAGACCGATTAACCCATACAAACATGTCACCACAAGAAAAATTCTATCACCAAACATTTGCAGAAGACACATCAGCATTTCCAGTGGTCAAAACGTCTCGCTCTTCTTGGATTCTTGACCTTAAGTTTGGACACATGTTGACATCTTTTTGACTGACTGGCTCTTGCTCGCTATGTAGGAGGTCAGTTGGTCGAGATCTCAAAAAATCATGCTTTCACAGGTGAAGAGTTAATTCCCAGTCAGAGGCAGGTCTCAGTCTGGAGCATCTGGATCCACAAATAGCACAGGTCTTCCCCACGGAGAGCAGCACGCCGGTCCCTGTCACACAAGAATATGAACTAAACTCATTATGTCTGAGGCGTTCCGCTTGATGGATTAGGATTAAAAAAAAGATAGCCCACATATGTTTGAAATAGTTGTAGCTCGGACAATAACTAACATCATAATATCTTGTGTCTACATTGTGTCTATGTGTACCTCGTCGAAATAGTATGTGTACCTATTCCAAAGTCACCTAAATGCACCATGGACTGAAAAACCTGCACTGCTATTGCCACTCTTTCTTTTATTTCCACTTTTTTATTGTACATAATTATAACCTGCACAGACTATACTTTTAACCTTTTACATGTTGCACACTTCTGTCTTTTTGAGTGATTTTATCTATGCCAAATGGGACATGTAAATTTCTTCAGTGCAAGATCAATAAAGTCTATCTAACCTTATCTTATCTTAAACTTGTCTGTAACTTGACTATTATAATTATAGTCATTTGAAAATTCTGCATAGATATTACACCTGATTGTGTGAGTAGAAGCAAAAAGCTTTTTTTAATCCCTGTTGCTATCTGCGTTTGCTTTTTAATGGTACGTTTCATTGTCCATCCAATATTTTTGATGTATGGAAAATATGGGCCAACAATATCTGTATCTGAAGCCAAGCCCAGATCTGAATCAAATTAAGTTAACCGAGAAAACAGGACATGAATCATTGCTCAGTGCCATTAGCAGGATCCCAATCTGTTTCCCTTGTACATGGCATCAGAAAAAGAAAACACGACCCTATAGTTGCAGTTACATGTTTTAATGTTTTAATGTTTTATGTAATGATGCGTGCTGGAGGACAGGCAGGCTGTGGTGGCCAGGGGAGCCAGCCGAGCGCTGAGTGGGCTGGAAAGCGTGACAGCCGGTGGACAGGAGGAGGAGTACATGTGGGAGGACACTGACTGCACAAATATGGAAGCTGGTGGACGGACTGCAGCCACCGTCTTGCCACGACCGAGCTTTGACCGGCCAGAGGAGCAGAGGATCAGAGGATCAGAGGAGCAGAGGAGCGGAGGAGCGGAGGAGCAGAGGATCAGAGGATCAGAGGAGCAGAGGAGCAAGCGCTGTCTGCTCCTGACGCCCACACGCTGCCAGGGAAGCAGCCGTGTCAACAGCAATGCATAGTTATGGCTTGGTCCACATGCTTTTTTCATTCCTAGGTTGTTGTGATTGTGGTGACTGTCCAGCTGCAAAAATAAGAGATTGTTAAAAAAAAATAAAAAAATATTGTTGTGAAATTTAGAATAGTAAATTTGCAGAATTGATCCACGTTTAGCTTCAGTCGCTGCATTATCCATGGTACGTGCTCACTCACATTTTGTTGATATGTTATTTATTATTTGGTCACATTTCAAAATAAGAGAGAGGAAGGACCCACAAAACAACGATGCATAAACAGTATAATTTATTAAACCAGAATCCACAAAATAATTCAATTGACAGTAAAAAACAGAGGCAATTTTTTTAGAGACCAATTTTTTTCTTTGTTTCTGTGGATTTACGACATTAAGTTCAATGATTGGTGTGCTTTAAAATGATGTATAACAGCCTATAATATGAAACAACATAATATGAAGGTATGCAAATAATGTGTATTTTAGTAACTTGCACTTTTAATTTGATGTTTTTTTTGTAACCTACACTTTTAATTTGAACTTTACATTATTATGAAAGTTATATGATTGTATTGTCAAGTACTACAGGTGGAAAGTAGCATGGTGCATCTTTTTAATGCAACTGCACATTGTCCTTCATAAATCAAACTTCAAACATGTATACAGTATATTGTTTTGCATGGCCGGCGGGACCCTAGTGATGAGGTTCTGAGTCAAAACATTTTAATTAAAGGGTGTAGGCCTGATTCCTAACATTGAAAACACATTCGTAGGCCAGCCCACTTTGTCAGGCTTTTTTTACTTTTTTTTACTTTTTTTTATTATTCCGCGAAATGAGTTTGTGAGCACTTTTCAAAACGTTCTCTCACATAGGGAGTATGAGGCCAAAAGCTATCCGCGTTACACTAGTGGTGCACAAGCAGTTTCTTGGACACGAAGACGCTTTATAATGTGATTAAACCTGCAACCAGTTACCTTGTACGGCATATTATTTACTATTGAGTGAAAACAATACTTTTCCTCCACTACAGAGGCTTAGAGTCTTAAACCGTGCTTATAACATGTTTGCCATTTGCAGAACTCGCCATCTTTAATCCTGGATCATCTGATTTTATTGTCCTGTTTTTTGTCCTTTTATCTTGTTACATAAAAAAAAAAGAATCGGTTGCCATGGTTTCAGCTGTAAAGGCTAAGGTCTGTTTCACATTTGCTTCGTGAAAAAGGTGTTTTTGTTTTTTTCGACGTTTTGTGTTGATTCACCAAAACATTACACACAGTTGTGGCTCTTATTCAGCTTCGATTCTTTCAGAGCGAATTTCATTGATAGTAATTCTAGTGTTCATTGTTGACCTTTAAACTACAACTGGACAAGAAGTTGGTTGTAAAATAAATGACAAAACATTGAAGTAGAAATGGTTATAAGATCCTAGAGCACCATATGGTTTTTGTCCCTTTAAGACAGTGTGAATTATAATGAAGAGAGTTGTATGACCGATGTGTACTGTATGTAAGTTCTGACCGCTAACCATTGAAGTGAATGTAAAATCTTAAAAGAAAGAAAATATGCAAAAAGGGTAAGGAAACGTAATCATTTTTTTATTTTCGATATTTTTATATTGTGCAATGAGCAAAAGCAAATGACCAATGAAATTCTTTTATATACGATCGTCTGCATCAGTCACAGAGCATAAGTGAGATTGACCAGTGGCAGTGAATGTGTGTGTGCGTGTTGTGGAGTGGGGGGATTGGGGGTTGCTATGCTGCTAAAATCAGGAGGCAGGAGGATGCAGGAGGGTCTCGCACAGTGGTGATGATCCAGGACACTCAACAGTCAACGACATTTATTGACATCTATTAAAATTCTATGGACATTGGTGATCTGCCCCTTATGGACCAATGGCTCTGTGTCTGTGTGTGTCTTTTTATCATTGCATGTCTGATCTGTGTTGGCGAATCGACAGGTTTGTGAAGTCCTCCATGATTACTACTGTTGTGATTAAGGGCTATACAAAAGTAAATTGAACTAAATTGAAATCAGACACATAGTGAATCCTAATGCAGTCTGATCATGAGGCCTAAAGAGAAGATATCAGGCAGTCTGAGCAGTACCCGGGTTTCCTAATATAATATTTGTGGTTCGGGTTACATCTCCTGGCCACAATAAAGCCAGCTGCTCTGTTTTTAAATGCTTCTGAGGTGATGTCATGGCTTTAGGTTGGAGCCAAAAGCAAAGCTGTAGTCACTCATAGATTTTCACTTGGTCTATTTTTGATAGCGTTTTGGCTCTTTGCGGATTTACCCCATTGTGAAAAACAACATCAAAGTTACTGAGTGCTGCAGTTATTGAGCTAGAAGTTTACGCCTTATATAGTCATTAGAGGAGGATTACTTTTCTCAAATGGTGTGTGAAAAATGCTCGACCATTCTCTGGTATTTACATGTGTGTTTGTGAAGTGGGCATAAACACGACTGGCTCTGCTTCCACTCAATGAACCTGTAAAAAGCTCAGAACCAAACCAGATCTTAAAGAGAAAGGATTTTATATTTTTATCATCTTTTTTTCCACAAAGTTTTGAATGACCATATGCCATCATGAAGATTCTAAGTCTCTGCACTGTTCCTGGAGATTTCTAGGAACGTTTAGTTGAACAAATTTGACCCTTTGGAAGAAATGCAAACCACTTTTTAAGGGAAAAACTTTCTTCTGTCGGATGGGATTGAATTATGTCAGGGAGTGTAACTATAAATATTTCTCTAAGAATAACCACCACGTCTGTCAGAGAGAAATCATTACCACTTAGGAAGAAGGGGTGTATTCTGGAACATTGAATCACAATACAAGACAGAAATTGCAGATTGTAATGTGTTATAAACATTATTCTTGAATTAGCTTGATTACTTTTGAATGTGCTAGAAAACGGCAGCAGGTTCTGTGTACCCCCGAAACAGTTGTTGTTTTGTGCTTTCCAAATTTATTTTTCTTGCTTTTTTCTACCTAAGATGTTGCTGCAGTACAGTGTTCATGGTTTTGCACTGGTCCAGACCGGAGCGGAGAAGATTTATGGTCCGAACCAAGTGGATCAGATGAAAATCCACTGGAGGAATGCTAACTTTTTGAAAAGTGCTAATGAAGCAATTAGCATTTTACTTTGGAATAGAATAGAACAAAGCGGCTACTCCACCTTGTGACCCGTCCTGCTCTACCCAGTGGCTGCTCCACCCAGTGGCTGCTCCACCCAGTGGCTGCTCCACCTCTGCTGCTGTGATCTGAAGGGCTGTTGCTGATTATTACTCCATCCATCCATCCATTTTCTTCCCCTTAATCCATTTCTGGGTCGGGGGGGTGGCAGTCAGAGCTGCACCCAGTACACTCAGCACCAGCCCCTCACTGATCCTCCTGCAGGTGGTGAGTCCACAGGAGCTGAGATCTTTCAGTGGGGGCTTTGGGCAAAGTAGGGTTAAGTGTCTTGCCCAAGGACACAACGACAGCAGTCATCAGTGGGAGTCGTGAAGTAGGTCTTATGGTGGGCTCGAACCCACGACCTTCAGGCTCAAAGGCCAATGCTCTACCAACTGAGCTACTGTCGCCCTTTGCTGATTATTACTATTGTTAGCTTTTTTGATTGATCAATTTTATTTTTTATTTTTGCTGCTACTGGACACCTGAATTTCTCAGACCGCAGTATTGTGCCCAGAAACAGCTAGAAGAGACAGATAGAGGAGAAAGAACTATGAATTTTCAGTTTTTAAGGTAAAAAGAAAAAAATGTGGCACTCAAATGTGTGATATCTGATGAATGGTGATGCACTTTGAATCAATTCAAATCACGTGGTTTGACATTCGTCCAATTCCACATGGGATGTGATTACAGACAACCACAGAGTTGCGTTGTGCATTATTCGAAACTGCTGTGTCCTTCAGCCTTTTTAATGAAGTGCAGAGTCATGACACCATTATTAGAACTGCGACTGACAATCTGTGCCTTTCTGATTATTTTCTGTTCCCTGCACTGCTGTGAATCACTGCTGGGTTTACTCAAATCTGGAGTCATATTTAATCCAAGAATGCATCGTCCTCTATTTAAACTCATTATATAATTATTACATGCTGTTTTCATTTCTAAACTAACTTGTTGGCATGATTACCCAAATGTATGTTCTTATCTATTATGTGCTGTGCTTTTCTTTACCTTTCAAGTATTGAAATGTAGTGATTGCTGCTCATCGGTGGATTTGTTTTTGTAAAGTTATTTTGAATCAGAGCATTTACGAGGGCCGCTGTCTTTGAAGCTGCTGCTGTGTCTCATCTTCAAGTTCAACAAGGAATTTAGCATAGCAACAAGATCCAAACCGTAGTAATGACAATGGCTGGGATTGTCATAGCAAACAACTCTCCCATTCATAAATCTTAATATTACCCAGGAATAATAGGCTGACTGTTTGCGGACTCGTGCTGCTCAGGGAAATGTGAGAGGAGATTCATACAAAGAAATTGGAAACACTTGAGAGATGTGGTTTCTTTTTGATGGAGGACTGTTATTTTAAAAACCGTAATTACTTTATTGTCCTTGTGCAGTTGAATGGATTGTTCTTACAATCAGATCACAGAATGTTCTAGTGAATAGTCCTCTCATTACATGTTGCTCACACCTCCACCACACTCCTGCAAATATCTGTATCTCTATATTCTTACAACTGTCACTCAATTCAGTTAAACTGATTTGATTGAATTTTGCAGTAAGACGAGACGAGCTCATGCAGCTTTCGGCAAAAGTAATACGTTCTGGGTGATCCTGTGGAGGAGTGCAAATCTCATGGAACTTTCTCAAACACAATTATAGATCTGCAACAATAGGCATCACCTTCTGAGGCTTGAAACACTGGCCAGTCCTCTCTGCTCCATCCATCCATCCATTTCATCCGCTCTATCCGTTGTCAGGTTGCGGGGGCAGCAGTTGAAGGAGACACGCCTAGACTTTTCTATTCACGCAGCACCAGACCCCAAAAACCC